CCACTGCACTCCAGCCTGGGTGACAGAGTGAGACTCCATCTCAAAAAAAAAAAAGTACAGCTGCAGCCAGCATCCCTCTCATCTCACCTTCCTAATTAGTGAAATGAACCTTTCTGGCTCCACAATCAATGTGCACCTTTTTTTGGCCAGGTGCAGTGGCTCACGCCTGAAATCCTAACACCGAGCCTGAGGTGGGAGGATCGCTTGAGCCCAGGAATTCCAGACTAGCCTGGGTAACACGGTGAGACCCCATTTCCACAAAAATTATTAAAATTAGCTGGGTGTGGTGGTGCACGCCTGTAATCCCAGCTACTCATGAGACCCAGGAGGTCAAGACTACCATACAGTCAGCCAACATTGTGCCACTGGACACAGGCCTGGCGGCAGCGAGACCCTGTCTCTCTCATGTATATGAGGCTGCGTGGACAGGCAGACCCAGGAAGACACTGAGTGGATTTCCAGCATAAAGAGCAGGTGCCGTTATTCCCAGGACAAGCCGTTTCTGCCAGTGCTGTTACGTGCCTGCAAATGCATGAAGCAGCCTGGGAGGCCACCAGACTGTCTTGATGGACCTCAGGGCCTGGAATTCAGGAGCTGGGCTCACTGCAGGCTTCGTTCACGTGTCTCTAGGTTGGATTTCCACTCGCTCTCAGCAGAAATTATTTTTAAAATTAAAAGAATGGATATTGCCACTTTAAAGGCGGTGAACAAGCCCTCGTGAGTTGGGTTGGAGTAGCCTGGCACCAGCCCTACCTGCCCAGGATGAAGGCGATATAGATGAGAGACGAGAAATGGGTGAAGAACTGCAGGGTGAAGAAGCGGATGGTGAACCTGCTCTCTCGCTCCGAGTGGGTCCTGGGCATCTCTGGAACGGAACGGGCCCTTACCTCTCTCCCTGCTCATGGGAGAGGCCCTAGGGCAGCAGGAAGGGCCCCCTCCCCTGCTCTCTGACCACAGCTCCAAGGCCCAGCCCTGAGTCCTCCCACCGGGTCCCCCAAGAGGGCCTGGGGTTGTCCTCTCACCGAAGTCACAAAGCTTCAGGGCCACGTACTTGTTGATCTGCAGAGGAGGGCACCGAATGGGCTCACTGGGGCCACGGCAGACCCCCCAGCTCGCGCCTGCCCCGCTCCCGGCCCCACCTTGGTCATGATGCTGATGGTCACATAGTGCACCAGGGCTCCGGTCACCACCACTGCCGTGGTCACCTGATCCTCCAGGAAGGGCAGGGCCGAGCTGCTGAAGAGTGCAGAGGCCAGGACGCGGTAGACCACCAGGATGTGGGCCATGCCGATCATGAGGCAGATCTGTGGGACGGCTGTGGTGGGTGGGGGCCAGGGCGGGTGCGCAGCCCGGGTCTCCAGCCCCACCACGGTGTCCCCCGAATACCATGATCAGGGACAGGATGAGGATGACGGTGCTGCGCAGGTAGGAGTGCTGGTGTGGCCGGAGCTTGTAGTCAGGGCAGTTAATGAGCTGAAGTGCCATTTCCTCCTGGGGAGAGCACCAGACAAGCCTCAGACACGGGACACGCCTCACAGGTGGACAGACGGGACACACGCTCCACACATGGGGACACGGGCATAGGGACATCCCTCACAGGTGGACAGACGGGACACACGCTCCACACATGGGGACACAGGCATAGGGACATCCCTCACAGGTGGACAGACGGGACACATGCCCCACACGTGGGGACACAGACACAGGGACACGCCTCACAGGGGACAGACGGGACACACGTCCCACACGTGGGGAGATGGACACGGGGACACGCCTCACAGGTGGACAGACGGGACACACGCCCCACACGTGGGGAGATGGACACGGGGACACGCCTCACAGGGGACAGACGGGACACACGTCCCACACGTGGGGAGATGGACACGGGGACACGCCTCACAGGTGGACAGACGGGACACACGCCCCACACGTGGGGACACGGGCACAGGGACACGCCTCACGGGACAGATAGGACACACGCCCCACACGTGGGGAGATGGACACGGGGACACGCCTCACAGGTGAACAGACAGGACACACGCCCCACACGTGGAGAGACAGACACGGGACACACGCCTCAAACACGATAGGCATATGTAGGCCGTGCAGGGCACCAGGCGCCCACAGCCTGTGCCCAGGTCCGCCTCAGCTGTGCTGCCAGCTCCACCTCACCTGGTCTTCGTCCCACGTGTACAGGTCCCAGTGCAGGACCACGCGGGCACGCTGCCGCTTCCAGATCTCCAGGAACACCGTGGCTGTGGCGGGGGCAAGGAGGGGCATCACTGCGCTGCGCCGGGTGGACCTTGGAGCTCAGGCTGGCACTTCCCCCGGCCCCGCAGAGGCGTCCCGCAGCAACTCACCCCAGAGAGCCATGAAGATGGCGAACACCACCGTGCCGTCATTGTCAAAG